TGATTAACATGTTCTTCCAACGTTCGACTATATATAACAATATCATCAAAGTAAACAACAACGAAGTCATCAAGATAGTCAAATAGTACATTGTTCATTAAATTGCAGAATGTTGCCGGGGCATTAGTCAGCCCAAACGGCATTACAAGGAATTCATAGGAACCATATCTAGTTACACATGTTGTTTTTGGTTCATCACCCTCTGCTATCCTAACCTGCCAATAGCCTGCCCTCAAATCAAGTTTTGTGAACGAGCATGCCTTGCTTAACCTGTCCATTAAATCTTGCACCAACGGAACCGGATATTTGTTCTTTATAGTTTCCTTATTCAGCGCCCCGGTAGTCTACACACATTCTCATTGTTCCATCCTGTTTCTTTTGAAATAGAACAGGAGCACTATATGGAGCCTTAGACGGCTGAATCAATCCAGCATCTAGCAATTCATTCAATTGTTTGCGTAGTTCAACCAATTCTTTAGGAGCCATACGATAAGGAGCCTGTGCAGGGGCAACCGTACCAGGCAACAACTCAATCTTGTGATCAATATCCCTCCTTGGTGGTAATTTCTTTGGTAATTAAGGTGGCATAACATCATCATACTGTTTAAGTAATTCAGCAACACAATCAGGCACTTCCATCTTCACGTCAGGTTTCACTTCGACCAAGGCAGAAAGTATAATGTCTTCGCCTTTCTTTAGCCCTTTGTCGATTGACATAGCAGACAACAACATTTCCTTGTCTTTCTTCTTTGTAACTTTATTGATGTTCCCAAACGGATGAACACCTTTGAGAAAACCAGCATTGCTTCCATTCATGACCATCACTCCATCTAAATGAGGAAATGGAACAAACTGGAATTTTCTTAGGAAATCAATCCCAAGTATGATTTCAAAGTCACCAAGCGGCATCACCATCAAATTATGTTTTCCCACCCTACTTCCAGTTGACATAGACACACCATAAGCCATGCCCACAATGGCTTGTGCCTTAGCATTGACTGTCTTGACGTAGGAAGGGCTTTTAGACAACTTCAGCCCCAATTTTGTAGCAATCTTCACATCTACAAACGTGTGTTTGGCCCCTGTATCAACCATTGCCATCACACATTGTTCCTTCACTTTCATTTCTATATGAATTAAGGAAGCATGAGGATTCGAAGTGCTAGAGATCTCTCCAACATTATTGATCCCCATAATGTGATTGAAGGACAATCCTAATGGGTTTGCCAATGCAGCCACGATTTCTTCATCCTCCTCCCTTTGATTCACATTACCAGCAAGCAAAGTATTCACTTTTTCCCGGTTTGGACAAGATTTGTCCAAATGAGGACCACCACAAGTCCAACAGCCCTTCGAATTTCCATCTTTATTCTTTGGCCTGTCTTTCCCATCCTTCATTTGTGCCTTTCCTTTATCATTTGTATTGTCTTTACGACTTTCCTTTCTCCATTCCCCTTTCTTCTCATTCTTTTTCTTAGTTTTTGAATTGGAGGGGACGTCTGTCGAAAGACGAGTCGCCCGGAAATCTACTAACGAATCGGCAGCAGCAATAGCCCCGGGCAGATCTTTAACATTATGCCTTTGTAGTTCGTTCTGAGCCCAGCCTTGCATGCCCGAAATGAAATTGTGAAGTTTGTCCTCATCAGACATATTTTGTATGTCTAACATCACAGAGGTAAATTCTTTTACATATTCCCTCACTGAACCCGTCTGCCTTAACCTTTTCAATTTATCCCTTGCAAGCCAAGATGCATTGCTAGGAAGAAATTGATCACGCATTTCTTTGATTAGCTTATCCCATGTATCAATTCTAGGACGACCAGCACTTACGTCATCTGCATTACGAGTCCTCCACCAAAGTTTCGCATCACCTGACAAGTACATTGTGGTAATGTTCAACTTTTCACCGTCCGGCACCCTTGCAGCGGTAAAATACTGCTCCATGTCCCAGATGAAATTTTCCAATTCTTTAGCACTCCTTGTGCCACTAAAGCCCTTAGGTTCTGGAATCTTTACCTTAGACGATTCAACAGGAGTTGAACTCAACGTGGCCACAGCCCGACACAAAACGAC